TACACTACTACTTTTTAAATAAGTGTGATTATTTATATATTTTTTAATCACACTTTCTAATTAAAGTGTGATAAGTGTGATTATTTATATATTTTTTAATCACACTTTCTAATTAAAGTGTGATAAGTGTGATTATTTATATATTTTTTAATCACACTTTCTAATTAAAGTGTGATAAGTGTGATTATTTATATATTTTTTAATCACACTTTCTAATTAAAGTGTGATAAGTGTGATTATTTATATATTTTTTAATCACACTTTCTAATTAAAGTGTGATAAGTGTGATTATTTATATATTTTTTAATCACACTTTCTAATTAAAGTGTGATAAGTGTGATTATTTATATATTTTTTAATCACACTTTCTAATTAAAGTGTGATAAGTGTGATTATTTATATATTTTTTAATCACACATTCTAATTAAAGTGTGATTATTTATATATTTTTTAATCACACCTTCTAATTAAACTGTGATTATATATATATTATTACTTTTTAATCACACTTTTTAAATAAGTATAATTATATATATATATTTAATCACACTCCCTAAATAAATGTAATTATATAAAATATTTCAATTTAATTTTTATATAAAATATACAATTTTCAAATCTGCACCACTATTCTACCCATGAATGACAGAACGACTCACTATTAGTTAAATGTTTTTTTCCTAAAAAATTAAAAAAAAATATTTTGGGTGAAAAAATGAACTTATTATTTTTATATAATTTTATCTTTTAATTCATACACTGTGTAACAAAATTGATTTTTTACGCAACACATCGACATACAAGACACTGATATGGCACCAAGGATCCTCTAGAGTGAAATTTTCCTAAAGTTTCCTAGAGTAGTACATTGTGTGGTTGAGATTTACTGGCAAGTCACATCAGAAAAATTGATGTGACTTGCCAGTAAATCTCAACCACACAATGTAGCACTCTAGGAAACTTTAGGAAAAAATCACTCTAGAGGATCCTTCCTACTGATATGGGTTCTAATCATAAGTGGCATATTAGAATGAGAGGGAGAAGAAAGACAGTGAATTGTTTGGAAGGGGAAAGGGTTCTTCAAACCCTTGTTCTTCAAAGTTCTACTATCAATTGAATCGGTGGAGATTGAGAGGCAAACACGGAAGTCCCGAAGCCCTTTCGAGGTTCTTCAAAGCCATACGTTGTGTCGACCTACACAAAACAGAGAAAGGATCTTGCTGTGAGAAGCAAATGGTACACTCTTCTTTTCGGCGGCCAGACTAGTTCGACGGTAAGGCACTCATCTCATCTCTCTTCTCTTCCTTCTTCCTAAAACCCTTGTTTTGGTTCTCTCTCGCTCTCACTCTCGCATTCGGTGCAGTTGGCGGTGTGATTGAAGTGGTTGTGGGCAATTTCACTCTACCTAAAACCCTAATCCAACAAAGAAAGAGAAAAGAATTTGAAGAACAATTAGAAAATCTGAAGGTTTTCCTCTCTCAATTGATTATTTCTGAAACCCTTCCTCTCCTGAAACCCTATTTTCTCTATCTGAAATTGTCCCTCTTGTAAAATCCTCTTCTCTCTGATTTTCCCCCTCTTTTCTTTGTGTAGGGTTCTCTCAGAATTCTGATTCCAATCTTTCTTGGCTCTTACAGATTTGGTATTTTTACATTTGAAATGAGGCTTGCTAAAATTTTATTTTATTTTATTTTTTATATATTTTAGTTGAGAAGTAATGAAATTATCGATGAATATTCTCAGGCATTGGGCTTTTTACATGGATTAGTGTAGGATTTTGGAGCCATACTTTTTGCTTCTAGGGTGTAAAACATGTCATATTGTTTTGGCATTAGATTTATAGATCTAATTATGTTCTTTGAATTGTGATGATGTTTGTAAAAATGCATTAAATTGTTAGCAACTTAAACAAAAGTATTTTGGAACTATATTTTCATTGTGAAAAATCGTGATTGATTTAATTCATTCGCGCCTCTGTTTGTTTTTGATGAAAATAGTAACAGAAACAAAAAACCAAAATTTGAAATTTTTTTCAGTCTTCGTCCTGTCATGACAATGCAATTATTTTGGTTGAATTAAGGCGAAAGCTATACTCTTGTATTACATTTTCATTTTGTTACAAATGTATTGTCGTTAATTTTTTTCTTCTTGCTGCGAACTTGAATGAATTTGAATTCAATTCTAAATGGAGACACTGAATTTTGTTTTGTTTTGTGATCTGTGTTGGTTGAGAAAAATTAAACATATTTGAAAAATGTAACACAGCACTCTGATTGTGGATTTTTGAGCTTTCCAATTAGGTTGAAGTTATGCTGGTTGATTATGTGTATTCTCTCTTACTTACTATCATGGAATTCAATGTGCCATATGTACTTTGGGAATGGTAGTTGCTCTTGGTTGTCTTCAGCATGCAAATGGAGTTAAACTCTTTGTTCTTGATGCTCATTATCTCATATAATTTTTGGATTTCATTGGAACTTGTCATATGATATAAAACATAGTTACAATTCCCTTAAAAGTATAAAACTTGGTTCCAAAATGGTATCTTTATGCTAGGTAGAATTGCAGTGGCAGTAATTGTGAGAGGGGTTAAAGGTTTCATATCTCGTTGACTGTTGTGGTTATCTTAGTGTTTGTAAATGATTATGAGTTGCCAAAGGTAGGGTGAGGTGGTTTACTTTGAAGAAGTGATATTGTAATACTGAAGTTCATTTGTGGTGTTGGGTTAGGGTAGTGCCTAAATGGTGGTGGTAATGATGGCTATTGTTATGGCAATACATTGTGGTTCTTGAAATGAAGGCATCAACAATGACCACTTTTGTCACATTGACCACTTTTCACAGTCTAATTTACTACAAAAATATTAGAATTCTATAAAAAAAATTATATATTGCTAAAACATTTATACAATATTGACATAAATTTTTAATATTGTTTTTGAATCACTAACATTACTAAATTTATTAGGATCATTCTTTTTTTTTTTTTTTTGAAAATTAGTTCTAGAAGGCTTATTGATTCCCAAACATTTGTTTTCTCGACTGTTGATGATAATAATGATGGCCTACGATCTCATGACAGATGGCTCCTTAATTTTAGTGGTGATTTCTTTGATGATGAGGTTGGTGGTGATTCCGGGTACACGAAAAGTAGAACTCATAGCATGAATGAACAACGTTGGCATTCAACATCTGAGGTAGGCTTTTAAGTACTCTCTTCTGACTAATACCCCCATCCATTTTGAACTGATTTTGTATTCTTTTGGCTAATGCATATCTTTTTTTGACGCATTAAGAGTAGCTCCACTTGTTGTATCTTTGTTCCTTGATGAAGCCATCATGCATTTCATACTTAATATTAGACATTATTTCATTAAATGCTTAAGATATCTCATACCTCTCAATATCCCTACTGTAAAGTGAGAGTGCAACCTTATTGTATTGGCTACATAAGTTTTGGGGACATTAGGTCTTAGATGTCTGTATACTGCAGAATAGCAACACTTATTTGACTATAGGATTTTTTTACCAGCAAATCAATAATGTTTTTTATTTTTTTAAAAAAAATTCATTTTTAAGTCAACAGAATGTATTTTTTTTTCCCTCTTCACATTATTGGTTTACCTATTGGCTTTAATAATTTTGTAGTGGAAGCTATACGCAGCAACACTTTTATTTACTTATTTTATTAGGGTAATTTTACCAAGTGCTAGCTCCAAAAAATTTTGCAAGTTTGGGAAAGACTTCGTGGTGGCCATGAAAGCGGTAATCTTGAAAATAGTATTTGTCCATCTGGGTTTCACCTTGATGGCACATGCACATGTGGATCAATATTGATGGCTGAGGAATCTGGTACTCATGCAAGTATTTCACGAATAGCGATGCTAGCAGAAGCATTATTTGAGGTGATTCCCCTTGATCAGCTAGTATGCTTTCTTTAGTTTGCACCAACTGTGTTGTGGTTGTTAGCTACTTTGTCTGGCAGGCTTTGATTATTTGCTAGATGACTTGTGAAGCATGACTTATATTACTGTATCTAAAGTCATGTTGCTGGCCCCAAGTAGTTGGGAATAAGGCTTTGCTGCAGCTGCTGGTCTGTTGTTGCTGCTGTTGCTTGCTGCTGCTGCCCTGGTGGCTGTTGGTTGCTGGGCGGCTGCTGCTGCAATGTTGCTGTGAGGTGGCTGCTACTAGATGCTGGTTTACTGCAATGTTGTTGCTGCAATGGTTCTGTCCCTGACCCTGGCTCTGTTTTGGTTAGTTTTGTGTAGTGTTTGGGTTTTGTTTGTTTTATTTATATTATTTATCAATTAGGATCTGCGCAGAGGATAGATGAGAGCAGTGTCCAACTAGCTAAAAACCATGCATCATTTGGATTCCTTTCCAAATTGTTAAGTGACAGTACTCGGAACCGCCTTCCAAAAACTTTTTAGCCTCCACTATGAACCCATCAAATTTTAAAATCCAGTGGTTGATATCTTCTCGAATTTCTCTCTATTTCTTTTTGCATGATCAATGGATCTCTGCACTCCATTTCACAGAGCCTCTAAAGTTTCAACTTGGATTGTCAAATTTTCAATGTATTTCTTTCTGTGAATCACATAACTGAACTGGCACTCAACTAGCTCCACCAATAATTCAGCAACTTTTTCTCCAATGGAAATTAGAATATCTGTCATGTCTGAGGAAAAACAATGTATAAGCAACACTTAAAAATAGCTACAGTATTACTGTTATTAATAACTAAACACTTATGTCTAGGATCTACCTCTTACAGTTATATCTTTGGGGTTAGTCTTTGACTAGTTATGTACAGCATTTTTTATATTCTATCTTGCTGAAGTTTATGGACAAGTTTATTCAAAATAGTGCGGTATCAAGTGATATATATGTTACACATCACAAATAAACTATTGTATGGGATTAATGTTGTAGATTTATTTTAGCAAGGCCTTAATGCCTTGAGTTACAAGTATAATGTTTATGTTATGCTAATGACCACTTTTTAAAATGAAGAGGAAGCCTTACCTTCCTGCAGTAAGAGTAAATAAAACAAGGTGTGCAGTTAGATCTTGTCTTCTCAATTCTCATACTATTGTAGCAGCTTATAGTACTTATCCTATACAGTGAAGAGATGTTTGAAAAGCCTCTGTATTATGATTTAGTTTGGCAGGAAAATGAGGAACACTGTTGGAAGTGGATCATTATACTTATCCTATAGAGCAAAGAGTTGTTTGAAAAATCCTATGTATTGTGGTTTAGTTTGCAGACTAATGAGGAACACTGCTAGAAGTGGATCATTCCCACTGCAATTGCGGATACACTGTCACAAGTATGAATTGTCTTATTGAGATTGTCTACATCTCAATCTATGCAGTTTCCTTCCATTTGGTATAGCCATACTCTACTGTTGAACTTCTCCTGAGTTGAAATGTGTTTTTGTTTCCACAATTAATTGAGATAGAATTTCGCTTGTCTTGTATAATTATTATTTATATTATATGATACAGTACTAACATAAAAATATATGTACTTGTTCCCCAACCGAAACTGCAAAATGCAATTGAGCTGGTAAAAACCCATTAACAAAGTTGGCTTTCCATTGGCTGGAAATTAAACATATCGAAATTTAATAATTAGATAATGCATACATAATTATAGAGCTTTATGTAGAACTTGTGGTTGCATGAATTAGGAAACCAACTAGACTTCAATAACAGGTGCCACACTCAGTTCAAAGTATCAAAACACAATTTAAGTTATATGACACTAACATTGTATCCTATTCTTGAGTTTAAATTTTCATGAATAGCTTGTCTGTCAGGCCTTAATAGGTTCCTTCTAGGGTTTTCACTAGAAGGCTAAATGCACTCTTTAGGGTCAAAGCATTATTTGAAGGAAAAGTGACATTTTGAAGATCACTTTTCGTCTATAAATAGTTTTCCATACTTGAATGAAGTTTAAGCTTGTAGCTCTGTTTCTTTCACATCATTCACTGCTGATATGATCACATTTACTTGACATTTTTGTGTAATTGGTGTCATAGTGCTTGTATTAGAGCAACTTTGACTGTGTAGTGGCAAAAATGCTATGCACTTCACTCCTAATACCTTCACATTGCTTAATTGGAGCATGATTTCTTGTTTTGCTAAACTATGTGGTGCATAATTGAAGTTATTATGGTAATGCAGCAGTCATGTTTGTCAGGAATACTCAAAAAAGTTCATATTATTTAGAAGCCATAAATATAGGCTGATGAGTCTTTATTTGCTTTCATAGCGGGAGCAATTTTTTTTAGTAGTATTTGTAGAGTAGATTTCAATTGAAATCAAATGGACATGACTATCATGCGAGAAGTTATTGGTTGTTATTGGGATACTGCTACATGGCACCTCGGAACCAACCAATAATTTTTCCTATCATGCTGAGCATATTTTCAGAACAATGGATCAATAATGGGGACTATCAACTACTATGTTGCTATGTATTTAACAATGTCCATCATTGTAAAAATATTTCCTTAAATATCATTTGTTTCATATGGACCATCAACTAGTGGGTTTAATGTTTTTTTCCATATGAAAGAAATTTGCTATAATATGACAATTCTATATCGGGAATACCAGATCTAACCTTTCAATGCCCCACAAGTGGTGCCAATGACGCCAAAGTTGTGAAGGTGCTATTGAGAACTTTGTGACAAGTATTTTATTTGACAAGTTTCTGGTTTTAGTTCTGTTAATAAACATATGTTATATTACACATATCCGGTTGGGGTCCATATTAATCATTGGCAAATTAAGTGATTATACCTCTGGTTTTAGTTCTGTTAGTAAACATGTGTTAATTTCCAAGCATCGTGTAGCTCAAATACACTGACTTTTCCATCTAAGCTCATTCAAGTTCTATTAAAATATTTTTTTACATCTTCGGTTCATTGCTAGTGGTTTAGTATTTGACTCTATGCCAACGGTCTGTTCTCTTTTCAATGTTGAAAAAGAGGCTCTTTGCAATGTTGGTGGGAGAATTTTGCAATGATATGGTTTCTCATATAATTGGAATCATTTTTAGTAACTATTTGAAGGGGAATTTGAGATGCATTCATAGCCTAGGTGTCACGTACTCTTATTGAAAACTAGTTGACTTTGTTTCGACTTAACTGCTGCCTTGTATTTGGAACTGCAAACTATGACATCATTTATATACTCATTTTCTTTGATTGGGTTTGTATAGGAAGTCGTGATAATGCACTGGCCATGTGCAAAGATAATGGCTTCTTTAGCAATTCCTGATATCACTCTTCTTGAAATTTTACTTGATAAGGTTTGTGTTATCTTTTGTAGTTGTTTAGTTTAGCCTGGAAGTGTGGTGATTATGTTCATTCTATGCCATCTAATTGTAAAGTATGACAGTAATTTTTTTTGTTTTTGTTGTTTTTGTCCAGCTGATAATATGCAAAAGTATATCTTATGCAGCAGTTGCTGCTCATACAGATAAGAGTGGTAGACGTAAATTGGCTGTTATGCTTGTTGAACATGAACCACATTCTTCCAAGTAGGTTCTTCTTTCTTTTCCACTATTTCATTATTTTTCTTTCTTTCAATCCTTTGTTGGAGAAATGTCTCTCTAAAGAACTGAATGATGGCTTTAGTCATTTTGTAAGAGATTTTGATCGTTGTCTCAGGTTCCTCTACTACTAAGCATTGGGGAGGAGGATACAACTCTGACAAAGGCAACTGAAAGTGGTGATACCGACCTTGTTTATCTTGTCTTATTTAATATCCGGCAGAAGGTATCACTTGTGATATATACTTATTTTAAGTAATTTGTATGCCTTCATATACTTCAATAGATGAATCCATTAACATTTGTGGAGTGCAAACAAATGTCACTTTCTTGGGTTATGATTTATTTGTCTTTTCCACATACATTTGTTAAACATAGAGGCCACCGTTGGAGTTATTTGGAATGATACAAGCCTGAACACTGGCACGTGATTTATTTATCAGTTATGCACAGTGGGTACACTCTATTTGACTCTTTTGAGGGTTGTTTCTTTAATCTGGGGACCTTGTTATGTAAACCTGTTATTATTTCTTTATTTGTGCAGATACTGTAAGCATGATTTTCTGACAGACTTCTTTCTTTCGTCTGGGCAGCTTCAAGTAGGTTGACTCGACTTATGTGGGCTAAAATCTTGTTCCTGCATTTTTATTTTTCTTTTAATGGACATCATATATTGGCTGCAATATGCTATGTCATTTGACCGAGTTATTTGGTGGTTGGGCCACTTATCTCCAAACATCCTGCATGTTACCAGATGATATATTTGTTTTCCAATTTTTTTCAATTGAAAATAAGAAACTGACAGAGAGTTATTTCATGATTCATGACTTTGGGAAATGATGTGAGCTTTGTTGAATTGCTAAGAGGATAACCATTGAGCAAAGAAAGAAATTTCAGCATAATCTTATTATAGGTGATGATTGGATAATAAATTTTGTTGATTATTAATATTTAAGAAGCAGGCAATGTAAAACAAAGTGTGATCTATTTATGATTTTGTATTAGTGTCTATGTATATATCATATCTATATGGTGATTTAAACATTTTATGCTTGTCACAATCAAAGTTGTTATTCCTTTTCTATTGATACAGGAGATGAATAGTCAGTGTGATGAGAAAACGTCTGATTTTATTTTTTGTAAGACAAGAATAGTCTTTACAAAAATAGTAAGTTTATTCATATACTTCTAGCGGTTTTTTAATAAATTTATGTTTTATTTTTCAGGTCAGAAATTTCCTAGAGAGATGCAAAATATGGTCGAAGAATTCAAGAATTTAGTTTTTTCAAGTTTTTTTCATTTTTAATATATGTAATCATAGTTAAAAACTTTTTATTAATTCCTTTGTATATACTTTTGAACATTTAATTTTTATTTATGAAATATACGACGTTATTCCATTCAATATATGGGTGATTCAAAATATAATATATAGTTTGTATTGCATTTGAAAGCGTACAAAAGTGTGATCTCATTATTAATCATATGTTTTATTAGATATTAATTACAATTAAAATCTGTGATCTAAATATTTATTATCACATATTTTATTAGTTATTAATCACACTTAAAAAGTGTGATGGAATCATTTTTAATCACACCTTAAATGTTATTAATCATGTGATGAAATCATTTTTAATCACACCTAAAAAGTGTAATCTAAATGTTATTAATCACAATTAAAAAGTGTGATGGAATAATTTTTAATCACACCTTAAATGTTATTAATCACACTTAAAATGTGTGATGAAATCATTTTTAATCACACCTAAAAGGTGTGATATAAATATTATTAATCACACTTAAAAGGTGTGATTAAAAATGGCCCTTTTTAATCACACTCTTAAAGATTACACTTTAATAAAACTTAAAAAGTGTGATTAAATAGCATCCATCACACAAAAAAAGTGTGATCTATTCATGATTTTGTAGTAGTGAGAGTTTATGTGAAGAAAATAACTTTCGAAGTATGTATTTGCCCGAAATGACTTCTGAAGTCAGTCTCTAAAGCCACAATAGAAATATACGAAGAGGAGATTTAGTCAGTAGGACAATTGCATTGTGGTTATGAGGGAGGAGGGTGTTCACACACAATTGTACGACCAATGTGAGAATCAAAGCTGACTCCTACAAAAGAGCAACCCAGAAAGATCAAAATTTGACATCTAAAAAAAAAAATGTTCATTAAAGCAAACAAAAAGAGTGGTTCAATCATCTCCAAGCTAAATTCCATGTTCTTGTTTATTTTATAGGGAATAGAAATAAAATTAAGGAAGGCAAATAATGGTTACCTACCATTAGGTTCGGAGAAAATACAACAATCCCACAATTTTAGTATAATTACAGGGACTTCTCCCGTATAGTAAAAGCTTAAGGAACTAAAATCAATGCAAAAGAGATGACATCAATTTTCCATACATATTGACTAATGATTACTGATGAATAAATAAAAAAGAGATCAAGTGTTATATAAATTAAAACATTAAACAAATCTAATGTAATTATGTAAAACTTGGGAGGCTTATTGTATTTTCACCAAACTTTATGACAGGTAAGTGTAATTTACCCAATTAAGAACTACCACCATCGCCACAAACATCAGTATACATTTGGTTACGATGAGAAAATGATATATATATATATATATAAACAGAGGACTATCAACAACATAATTATTCAGCAATTGCAAAGGTCATCCTCTATACCAAGTTGTACTATTCAAGATTAAATCTTAACACCTCCTAAAAGCTACTTGTAGTCTCAGGTAAAAAATTCCCAAATCACAATCCTTGATTTGTTTGGTAAATTAGAAAAAATCCTTCATATTTAGCATCACGTAGAACGAAGATTACTCCTAATCCCAAAAGATACAAATGGAATTCCAAAAGATATATATATATATATATATAGAAGAAGCAACTTCAATGAGCAGATACTGGATGGATGTAAAGTCAGCAGAATCATTTGAATCACATAAACCCTTGAAGATTACAAGTGTCATCCGTAAAAGTGGCAAAATAATATTCGCTCGTGAATGGATTAGCCAATATACACAAGGACGCAGACATGCACACACTCTTCTTTATGAAGTTTAGGGATTGTTGTTGCAAAATAGGACAAGAATATTGTAATTAATTATCTTGTAACTAATCATATAGGCAAATATCGTCCGTCTTACAAGATCTAGCAGTGAGTTTAAAAAAACAGCATATGAATAGAAGATTAATAGAAAACTGTCTCCGACCCAGTCAAAAGGAAATGAGGAATACTAATGGAATACTTAACATGAATGACAAAACTATGCAGCCTGAAGATTAAGAAATGAGTAACAAAAAAATCTTGGACAGAAGGAAAATGACTCATCTTTGTTCTTTAGTTCTTAACTCTAAATATGAAAATGGGCAATCTAGAGTGATGATTTAAGAACATAAAAAAAGGCAGCTCAAACTAACCATGTTTCTAATTTATTAAAATTTTTGATGTGCACCAAGATGTGTGACTTGCCAACATGATTGTGAGGTAAATAAAATAAACTACAAACTCAAGCAAGAATTGAAAAACCTTTCACTAGGTAAGGTATGATAGCATCATTTTTTTTATTGTCCAAAATTACAGAAGCAAAGAGAGCTTAGAGAAAGGGGACAAAAAAAAAAAAAAAAAAAATAAAAAAAAAAAAAAAAAAAAAAAAGAAAAAAGGATATAATATCTAAAAGTAAGAATTTCAACTAGCTATGCAGACGCAAACAAAATTGCATTGAGAGTGACATGGAAACTCAAAGGTGTAATATTTGGAACGATGTCAAGTCTCTGAAATGTTTGATTATAAGATTCTGAATAAACTTATATATTCAACTATCAATGTTTACAAAGTATTCATTAGTATATATAGCCCTAAATCTATGGCTGAACAAGGAATGACGAAAAAATAAATACATGTGCCTAATTAACGCCTAATTCCTAATATACATAACTATGCCATATATACAATCTTTCCATATATACAATATATTCTTACACCCCCGCTCAAACTCAAGGTGTTTCAGTAGAAAATACTAAGAGTTTGCTAAGAAGAAACTGAAACTGAGCGGTATTGTGAGTCTTGGTGAAGAAGTTCGCAAGTTGCAAAGCCGAGGAGACAAAAGGAAGCGAGAGAGAGCCAGACTGCAGATGCTGTCGGACAAAGTAACAATCAATCTTAATGTATTTCATCCATTCATGGAAGACAATATTGTGGGCAATCTGAATAGCACTGCGGTTGTCACAATAAAGAGAAGTCGGAGAAGACTAAAGCACACCCAAATCAAAGAGAAGACAACGAAGCCAAACAAGTTCAGAAGTAGCATGAGCCATAGCACGATACTCAACTTCGGTAGTAGAGCAAGCAACAATAGTTTGTTTCTTGCTTTTCTAAGAGATCAAGGAATCGTCAAGAAACATACAGAAACCAGAGATGGACTTGCGATCATTAACATCACCAGCTCAATCAGAATCAGCATAGGCCACCAAGTCTAAAAATGAAATAGAGGACAATAGTAAACCCTGAAAGATGGTACCCCGGAGATAGCGAAGAATGCCAACAAAGCAGCCCCATGGGTAAAGCGAGGAGCAGAAAGGAACTGACTAACCACATGCACAGCATAAGCAAGATCAGGGCAAGTAACAATCAAATAAACTAAACAAATCACAAGCTCGGGATAGATAGTAGGATCATCCAAAGGGACACCATCAGTAGAGTTGAGCTTGACATTAAGCTCAATAGGTGTATCAGAAATCTTAGTATCAGTAAGATCAGCACGATGAATAACCTCCTTAACATATTTTGCCAAAGACATGAAATAGCCCTTTGGAGAATAGGCAACCTCAATACTAAGAAAATACTGCAATGAACCCAGATCCTTCATTTTGAAGGTGTGAAAGAGATGTTGTTTGACCTTAGAGATAGCAGAAGAGTCAGAGCTAGTGATGATCATATCATCCACATAGAGTAAGAGAGCAACAAAACTAGCCGACGTATGTTTCAAAAACAAAGCAGAGTCGGAAGTAGAAAGATGAAACCCAAGCTCAGTAACAACAGTCTAAAAGCGATCATATTAAGCACGATGAGATTGCTTCAAACTATACAAAGCACGCCGAAGATGACAAACCTGCCCAGAAGAGTAGAGAAGGGCAGGGGAAGGACGCATGTAGACCTCCTCAGTGAGATGACCGTTAAGAAAAACATTCTTAATGTCCATTTGATAAAGAGGCCAATGTCGAGCAGCAGCAACAGAAATCAAGGTACAGATAGTAGTCATCTCAGCAACAAGGGTAAATGTCTCCTCATAATCAATACCATACTCCTGCGAGAAATCCTTTGCAACCAAGCGAGCTTTGTATCGCTCGAGAGAACCATCAGAATGAGTCTTGACTTTATACACCCATTTGTAACCAACCAGATTCTTGCCAACGGACAAAGGAACCAACTCCCAAGTGTTAGTCTTTTGCAAGCCAAACAACTTATCCTTCATAGCTTAAGCCTAATTAGGATTCTAACAAGCCTCTGTGTAAGACTAAGGTTTTGAAAAAGAATGAATAACAGACAAAAAAGTACAATAAGAAGCAAAAAAACATGTATTAGACCAATCCAACCTGTTTGGAAGACGACGCTGACGTGTAGGACATCAGTGATCAGTAGGATCAGAGTCGTCAGAAGTAGAAAAAGCAGCAATAGGAGTAGAGACAACTGGTGGTAGAGGAACCTGGCGACGAAAATAGACCAACAACGGAGGGGAAGAAGAAATCGAAGGAGGAGAAGCAGCCAGAGATGAAGCAGAAGAAGAAGATAGAACAAGCTCAGGAGGAACTGTGGAGATGTACTCATCAAATGAGATCTCAGAAGGAAACGAATCAATATGAATCAAATCCTTTTTGGAAACTGGGGCAGTAAGAGGAGGAAACTGAATGTGAGGTAGGTGTTCGAGAAAAGAAACATGACGGGAGACATAAAGACGACGGGAAATAGAGTCATAACATCGATAGCCTTTCTGAGTATGACTATAACCCAAAAAGACATAGAGGACAAACCAGGCACTAAGTTTGGTCCTATCTTTGCGGGGAAGAAGGACAAAACAGGTAGGCCCAAACACATGAAGAAGGGATTAGTTAGGAATTTGGTAGAACAAAGCCTCATAAGGAGACCGACCAGAAAGAAGAGCAGTGGGCATGCAGTTGAAAAGAAAAG